CTCCTCAACACATTCTTCTGCTCCCCGACCATCCTTCAACTCCCCCCAACTGTATTCTGCACTTTTCCTTGAAACCATTTCCTAATATTTGTGCTACCAATGCTATTTTCTTAACACATAATTTGTAGATAAAGAAAAACTATTGAAGTGTCATTAACTGGTGCTTTTTTATATAAATAAAAGACTTGACAGTTTCCCTCCCAAGCCAGCACAAAACAGAGGACAGCACAGAGGCCTCCTGACCCTTGCCCCGACCACTCGAGATCACGCACAGGGGCACAGTGGCCGCCTCTCCTTGCTCCCCTCGTGACCTGCTGGGCCGGTCACTTGGATTTCTGGCCGCCTTTCTGGGACTCCAAGATGGCCTTCCTGGCCTCCTCCTCCGGGATGAACACGCTGACAGTGAAGTCGCTTGTCTCCGAACCATACTTGTTCTTCACGACCAGCCCATACTTGCCCGAGTCGTTAGTGCTCACGCCGTTGATGGTGAAGTAGGCAGTCCTGCCGGACTCGAACTTGAGGACGCAGTGCTCATCGGCGACCAGGGCCTTCTCGTTCTTCAGCCAGGAGATCTCCGGAGTGGGGTCGCCCCACACGTTGCAGGTGAGATTAAGGGCCTGCAGGACAGGTTTGATGAGAGGGAAGGAGACGCGTCAGACATAAGGATCCAACCTGAAGAATGTCTGTGGCTGGCGGTCTGGGGTGCCCAGCTGGAGCACACACATAAACCTGCCAGACCAGGGGGAAGACAGCAGTTACCTGGACGCACCTTGTGAGTTACAGTTTGAAATAACGTCTGAGTATGTTTCTTTAGGACCAGGCTTTCTGGCTTCTGGAATGCTTCTTATAAAAAATACACAAAGGAATTTACTTCCATTCCCACGTCCTCTTTCTCTCTCACAAACACATAGATGCCTTTTGCTCTATAGGGCATCGTGGCCCTATCTCAGTAGAGAAATCGCCTCATTGCCATAATCACCCCTGCTCACTGTTGCTTTTCATTTGTGTGGAGCTGGGAGCAGAATTGTCATAGCTGCTTCAGATAATGTAACT